TTCAACATCTAGGTCATCTCTTGTTCTGCTTCTATTGATGCCTTCCTCTGCTATCATGAATCTAATTATGTTGCATTTGCACATATTTTATATATTTGGAGATATACTGGACATTTTGTACAAAAGAATAGGAGATGCTAAGAATAAATATTATCTGTCATCAAAGTGGGGCATGCTTTGCGGAGGTGATGAGCACTGAAAATGTGTACTCAAGAACTCTATCTAGGTCAAAGAAATAAAGATTATCTCATACTGTATCTATGTGTCCAGAAAATGTAACAAGGATGAAGATTTATCAAACAAGTTTTATACTCTGGTAACCTATGTACCTGTTACCACTTTTAAAAAGTAAACAGTTAATGTGGATGAGAACTAATCGCTGATTGTCAAATAAAGTTATGGAAGAAAGAAACAACAAATATGCACCCAGAATGTAAAAGAACAAAATGTGACGTGTTCATTTTTCTTTCCAGAATTTGGGAAGTGGCTCAGTAAATCAGATGCATATTCGTCTTTATTATTATTATATATATATATGTATTTGACCTTATTGCACACATACACATATATGCATATATATGAATGAACACTGTCCTCCCGTTGTTCATCGATTTTGCTCGAGCGAGCTCAGTAACGTCTCCATTTTGAGACTTGTTACTGTGTTTGGCATATTGAATACGTCACGGGTAGCTTGCCAGGCTTTGCTGTGCAGGTGAGATACTCTTGGTAGCTTGCTGGGCTCTCGGAGAGGGGCGGAGTAATCGAACCCGGGTCAGCTGGGCTGGCTGTGCGCAAGGCCTTACCTCTGTGCTATATATATATATATATATATATATATATATATATATATCTCACAACTTTTTTGATTTGGTTCACTACTCCAAGTATTTTGAAGGAAGAATTAGAACTTTATTTTTATTAGGGTCTGATTTGGGCTATTGACAAGAGTTTAAGAATTGAATATTGCTTCATAGCCAAGTAATGGAGCTTCAGGAAATGTGGGTGATTTCTCCTTGCTTTGTAGTCTTATTTGCACTTTTATTTTCTTAGTTTAATTCTGGGGCCAGGCCCGGAAGTGCACCGGGCTTCCTCCTGGCTCTGTGCTCATGGGGTTACTCCTGCTTGGCAGGACCCGGAACATGGGGTGCCAGAACTCAAATCTGGATTAGCAAAGCAAGCACCTCACCCACTGTACTATGGCTCTGCCCATTTTATTTGTTTTTCAATCACTGGCATAGGAGGATGGGAAACATTTCTATGGGTTCTTATGTGTGCCCACCCTACTCTTTACTCCTTTGAGGATGCCCACAGAAACTGAGACTGCGAGTCTTTAAACTCACAATGCCCTACTCTTAGCCTTCAAGTATCTCTCTAAAGGATTTCTCAGCATTCTCTTACTGCTATCTCCCTGGCCTCTTTTTTTTTTTTCTTTTTGGGTCACACCCGGCTCATAACTCAGGAATTACTCTTGATGGTGCTCGGGGGACCATATGGGATGCTGGGATGTTGGCCGTGTGCAAGGCAAATGCCCTACCCGCTGTGCCATCGCTCCAGCCCCCTCCCTGACCTCTTATCTCTTCTATTTTTTGTTTTTAGTTTTTTAACTACACCCAGAAACAAAACAAAAAACTTAGCTCTAAATCCTGGCTGTGCTTAGGGTTTACTCCTGGCTCTGTATTCTCTCTCTGGCCTCTCAGATTTATGATGACTTAAAAGTAGTTTTGATTTTCTGGGTTTTTGTTTTTGGGTCACACCTGGTAGTATAACCTGGTTGGGCTCAGGGAACCATATTGGGTGCCAGGACTCAAACCGGGGTCAGCCTTATGCAAGGCAAGTAACTTACCTACTGAATTATCTCTCCAGCTCTTGACTTTCTAGATAATTGGGACTTTTTATTTGCTAGCATAGCAATTAGGTTCTTTCATGATTTTCCACCTTCAAAACAAAAGTAAGGAGGTTGGAGCCATAGTACAGTGTTTGCCTTGCATGTGGCCAACCCGGGTTCAATCCTGGCAATTCCCATATGGTCCCTCGAGCACCGCCAGGAATAATTCCTGAGTGCAGAGCCAGGAGTAATCCCTGAGCATTGCTGGGTGTGACCCAAAAAGCAGAAAGAAAAAAAAAACACTCAGGAATGGAAATTTTAAAAGTGATTTCATTTTCAAAATTTTATTCATTTTTCTTTTGGGGACACATATAGTGATGTTCAGGGGTTACTTCTAACTGTGCTAAGAAATTACTCCTGGTGGTGCCTGGTGGACCATATGGGATGCTGGGGATCAAACCAGAGTTGGCCACTGGCAAGGCAAATGCCCTACCCACTGTACTATCTCTTTAGCCCCTCATTGGTTTTTTGATTGATTTGGGGGCCATACTGGGCACTGCAAGAGGCCACTCAAATAGTGCTGGACAGCCATATGCTGTTGAAGATAAAACTCAGGGCCTTGTACATGCTTTGCATCATTTGGTATCCCCAATCCTTAACTGTTTTAGTTTTTTGGTGGGGAGGGGGCATATCTGCCAGTGCTCAGGATTAATTCCTGGCTCCGTGCTCAGAGGTCACTCCTGGCAGGGCTTGGGGCACCCTGTGGGGTTCTGGGGATCGAATCCAGGTCAGCCACATGCCAAGGCTAGCGCCTCCTTAGCTGGTTTTTAAAGTCAAAAATAGAGGCTAGAGAGGTGTATTGGTGGGAGTCAGGCATGGGATCCTGCATGCAGGACCTATCCAGACCTTTGAATTACCTCCTTCAGTCATCAATTAGGGATTGGGTTTGAATCACATCCAGCAGTTTTTAGGGCTTCCTCCTAGCTTTGTGCTAAGTGATCACTCTTGGAAGTGCTCAAAGGGCCATATGAGATGCAGGGATTGATCAAACCTGGGTCAGGTGCATATAAGGCAAGCACCTTGCATCTCTCTGGTCACTAGGCCTCAGTTTAATGATCTCTTACCTAGGAAAATTTCCCTGGGCAAATAAGCCTAGGTAGGATGTCCCCATTATTTGTTCTTACTATTGTGTGCTTATTTTTCTTTATTATTAGAATTAGTAATACTTCTACGTAATACAATATTTAAATTGCACATAAGACAGGTATTTCCTTGTTCTTCTGCTACCGAGTTCTCCTGTTAATAATAGCAGCATTTTGAATATCCCTACAGGATATTTGTGAGTTAAAGGCAATTATATACATAATACTCCTCAATTCACATTTCCATCCACTTTGGCCAGAATGTAGATAAAGCAGTAAAGCACTTGCATATGTGAGGCTCAAGGTTCCACAGTTGGTGCACGCACACACACATGTATGTACACATATACTTCGTTAATAATGCACGTTGGCAATTCTTCTATATTGTCTGTAAATAATTGGCTTTTTCACATTCCGTATAGTATGAGTTTACCATTTCTTTAGTTTCAGTTACTGGGCATTTAAGTTGATTATAGGCTTTTGTTACTACAATGTTTCTCCACTAAATAACTCTGTAAAGTCATTTCTGATATCTATTTACTATAGGATAGATTCCTCAAATTAATATAATTAAGTTTAAAATTACATGCATTTTTTTTTTTTGTTTTGGGGCCACACCCAGCAGTTCTCAGGGCTTACTCCTTGCTCTGTGCTCAGGGATCACTCCTGACAGTGCACAGGAGATCATATGGGGTGTGAGGTCCACTATGTGCAAGGCAAGTACCTTATGCCATACTATTGCTCTGGCCCACTTTTAAAGCTGACAAACTGCTCTCAGTGGAGGTTATGCAATTACATTCTCACTAGTCTTAGACAAAAGAATGCAAGCTTCCTCATTCCTACGTCCATGAAATTTAAAGTGATGAAAAGTACCTTTTGGAAACTTCAGCACATTTTTTTCTCCCCCTTCCTTACAAAGTTCTATGTTCTTACTTCAGAGCTAGCGATAGATAGCTAATTAATGCTTGACTTTCTTGTTACTCTTTAAGCTGGGCTTTCTGGAAGTTGGGATTTTGTTCATTATATAGTTTTGCACTCTGGAATGAACAGGCTCATGTCACACAGGAGTTAACTCCAAAAGTTTGTCTTCATAGTCCACATGTACTTCCAATCACTAGTGGACTGAGTATTAAATTGGCCACACTAGGAGGCCCAGGAAGGTAATTAATGTAAAATGGCTGCAGTGGCTTGGGAAGTGAGAATAGGGGCAAAAAAGGGGAACACTGAACCGCAGTCATTTATTTTAAAAGCACTCACAATGCGGCCCCATTGTAAGATTTTCATCCTGAGGTCAGACTTCTGGCTTTCCTGTAAAACTGCCCGTTTTCGCGTGTGGGGGCGTCTGTCAGTGTTGGGGAATTACCCCCGGCGGGGTCGGGGACCATCTGGGGTGCTGGGGATGGAACCCGGGTGAGCTGCGCGCAAGCCATGCGCCTTTTCCGCTGACCCATCACGCTGGCCCCTACACTGGCCTAATTTTGCAATCATCCCATCAAAACTAGCCTGTGTACAAGGCAGCCCTTGCAGCAGGGGGTTTGCAAAGCCTGCCGGACCCGGGAGCTAGTACAGGGTTTAAGCTTCTTGACATGCATGCAGCTGACCCTGGGTCGATCCCAGCACCCCATATGGTCCCCCATCCCCCTCCCCCAATCAAACCTGGCAAGGCCCCAGCGCAGAGAGCTGGGAGTAAGCCCTAAGACGGCTGGGGGTGGCCCAATTCCCGCAACTCCCCGCGTCGGACAGTGACCGCCAACGCAAGGTCTTCGAGCCTGAAATGAACGCAGACTCGCGGCCGAGCCAGGTGGTGGAAGCGCAGTCACGCGGGTCTCTGCAGGCGCGTCCCAAGGCGCGGGGCTGTCGGGGTCCGGCTAGGAAGTTTACAGGTTGCACGCCGGCCCCAAGCAGCAGCCGCGCCACTTCCGGCACCTCTTCCGCCGGGCAGGTTTCTCTTCCGCCCCGCCCACCTACTTCCGGCCCGGCCCGGCCCGGGCTAGCCCCGCCCGACGACTTCCGACGCTCCGGTCGCCTGGGAGACGGCCAACTTCCGGCTGCGCGGCGGAGGGGGCGGAGCCAAGATGGCTGCGGAGACTGCGGTGACGGTGAGCTGCGCGGCTTGGCCCTCGGTGAAGCGGCCGGGCGGGAGCGGGCAGAGTGGGCCCCCTCGGAGGGCCAAGGCCGGCCGGGGGCTTCTCCCACTGCACCCCCGCGGCGGCGGGGGCTTCCCGAGCGTCCCGGGAGGCGGGGGGCGGTGGGCCGCGGGCTGGTGCGGGCCGCCGCTCGGCGCTGCCCAGGGTCGCGTTTCCGCGCCGGGCCCGCTGCGGGGGCCGCCTGCGGTGCGTCGCTCGGCCGGTCCTGGGGGAGACGCCCCGGAGAGCAACGGAGCGCCGTTTCCCCGCCGCGGGCCGGTGTTTCCTCCTCCCTCCAGATCTCTGGGTCCGGAGCAGCAGGCCAGAGCAGAGGTTTCCGTTAAACCGACTCGATGCGGCTCTGTGATTTCGGGGCCGCCCCTGGCCCTGCGCCCCGGCCTCGCTCCTCCTGGCGGGGCTCGGGGGGCGCACGGGCTCCCGGAGCCTCGGCCCCGTCCGCCGCGTGCACGGCAGTTTCCGTTCTTTGGACCGCCACGAGGCGTGGTGCGAGGCTAATTTAGGTTTTGCAAAGGGTTCAGCGGCATCGTTTTGTTGCAGGTGACGCAGATGAAGTGGGACGCGCCCCCGCACGGTCCTCGGGCCGCCCCTGGGTCCCGCCGGTTCCACGCCCGGTGGGAGACGATCCCCCAGGCGCGTTTCTCGGGAGCCGCGGGACCCGGGCGGGAGCGAGGAACGAGGGCAGGGGGGTCCGTTCTGAATTCTCCCCCAGGCCCGCGGGCCGGCGCTTTCCGCACGCAGCAAAGAATCCCAGGGGCCGAGAGGGAGGGAAGGAGCACGGGAGGAGAGAGAGAACTGGGCTGTCAGCGGAGGGGCGAGAGCCCAGCCCGCATCCCGGGGGTGCGGCCGAGCCTTTGCAGGGTTGGATCCTGGTTTCCCCCAAACTGCCCCACGGGGTCCTTTCTGCTAGGTAAGAGTGTCGCCAGGGCGTTGCCACCGGGAGGAGCTTGGAACTCCTGGTGTCCACCTTCATGCCTTTATCACACCCCCTTGTTCCTGCTGTAGCTGTTCCTGCAGGGGTGCTGGGCTCCACCCGCTCTGGCCTGTGCTGGCCCCTCAGTTCCTGTCCTCAAAGTGCCACCTGCCATAGTGCTTTCTGACTTATTTTCTGGTGCTCATTGCAAGTATGATTTTGTATGTACTTGATACCTATGATACAATGATATCTCTGGTGCGGTTGTCTCCTAGTGCTTTTAAATCATGACTCTTTGGGGCTGGAGAGGTGACACAGCGGATAGGGCATTTGCCTTGCACGCGGCCAACCCTGGTTCCATTCCCGGCATCCCGTATGGTGCCCCTGAGCACCGCCAGGAGTAATCCCTGTGCATCGCCAGGTGTGACCCGAAAAGCCAAGGGAAAAAAAAAAATCACGACTTTCTGATTTCCATACGACTTTAGCACTTGGACGTGAGAATAATTAGTTTACACCCGTGTCAAGTTTTGTTGTTTTTTAAATTCCAACTTCATTTTAGCAAGTTGACACACTGTGGAAATAAGAATTCCTGACATTTTGGGGAGTGTTGTGGCATTTTATAATAATGTTTAAAAGGATCCTAATCTTCAGCCTTTGTCCCATAAATATAAAAGTAAATCATAAGCATGTGACAGGATATTCATTGCAGCGTTGATAGTGGAAACAGATTGAATGCTCGTTATTAGGGTAATGTTAAACATAGTATATATCTAAATAAAAATGATATGATTTGGAGTATAGTGTGTAATTAACTTTTATGATGGACACTGGACACTGTCCTCCCGTTGTTCATCAATTTTCTCGAGTGGGCCCAGTAACATCTCTATCGGAGACTTTGTTGTTACTGTGTTTGGCATATCGAATACATCACGGGTAGCTTGCCAGGCTCTGCCATGAGGGTGAGATACTCTTGGTAGCTTGCCGGGCTCTCCGAGAGGGGCGGAGGAATCGAACTCGGGTTGGCCATGTTGGCTGCGTGCAAGGCAAACGCCCTACCCGCTGTGCTATCGCTCCAGCCCGACTTTTATGATACAAAGAAAAAATATATTTGTAGGTGAGGGTATATAGATGAGGAAAGACAACTAAGGCTTAAAGCAGAGAGATTTGGTTTTAGGGCACTTGCTTGATGTTGCCATTCTGGGTTCAATCCCCTGCTCCCCATATGGTCCCCTAAGCCTCTGCCAGGAGTGATCCCTGAACATTGCTGAGTGTGGTCCAAGAAACACCCCCAACCCTTTGGGATTTGAGCAACTGTATATATTAGAGAAAAGAATTAAGAAAAATTTGAATTTTTTGCAAATTTTTGCAATATTTGCAGGAGACATCCAGCAAATGGAGTAAAATTAGTCCAGAGTGGACTAGTTTAATATGCTGTTTAATATGCTGTTAAAACTATTAATGGTTACTTCCAGTTCTCTAGGGAGGAAGACTGAGAACTGACATTTATATTTTATTAATCAGTACTTGCTTATAAGATCTTAAAACAATGCACATAGCTCTTATTTCCATGATTTATACTTAATAAAATTTTTATAGCTACCTAATTCCCATTACAGATCAAAGTTTTCAAAACAGAAAACAAAAATTAATATTCCTTTAATTCATTTGGCTCAGAGTGCCTAGCACATATCACGTATTACCAGAAGATTTATCAAATGAATAAATGATCACATAACTACATATATATAAATTCACAAAAATATAGTGACTTTTCCATATTTATGATCCCGTGGACTATTGCAGCAACCCCTCTCCAACCCCAGTGGGGGCTGGATTGCTCACTTTGGGAAGCAGTGATCTATACTGTAGGTAGCAGTGGTTTTCTCCCTTTTTGGTTATTTAGTTTTTGGGCCACACTCAGCTGTGCTCAGGGCTTAACTCCTACTTCTGCGCTCAGGGATCACTCCTGTTGGGCATGGGGGACAGTATGAGGTGGTGGGGATTGAATCTGTGTCGGTTGCTCGCAAGGCAATTGCCTAGTCCCCTATACTGTTGCTCTGGCCATTGGGCTTACATTACTGACCAAGCAACAACAGAATTGACTCCCTACATCCTCCAGCATTCCTTTGGGGAGGCCCTTATTAAAATTTTTTGTATCTGCATGAAGTTAATTAACTGCATCATTGGAGAACATCAACTGTTGTTACATGAGTGCTTTTTTTAAAAGTTAGCAGGATTTATGGGTGGGGGAGCTTGCTTCTTTTCATGGAGCCGGCTTCTCTTTCATCCCAATACCACATGGTCTCCTGAGCATCAAGCTGGAAGTAGCCCCTGAGATTCACTGGGTGTGGTCTAAAAGCAAAACAAAAAGTTATGGTGGTGCATTAACATTGATTTCATTCATTTTAGAAAACACAGTTTGGTGCAACTGCTGAATCTCAGAGTTCTCGGCCGAAAAAAGGTCTGTATGCAATTTCCATTGTATGCTTGCATAGGTTTCTTTACTAGTTAATTGTTACGTATGTATTAAATATTTAGTTGATGTTTTGAGGCTATACCTGATGGTACTTGGCTATACCTGGTGGTGGTTTTATCTTAGCAATGCTTAGGTGATGCTGCGGATCCAGCCTGGGACTCCTGCATGTAAATCCATGTGCTCAGTCACTATTTTTTTTTCCCAGACCTTGGAGATACTGCTGGAAGTAGCCGTTTAACACTGAGCCAGGAATATAGCCTTTGAGCATACAACATGTAACCCCAAAACCTAACCCTCTGGCTTTCAAAAAAGCCTCCATCTGGATCAGAGGTATCCAGATTTACTTGACCAACTGTCCCCTTTTCTGGAAAAAAAAAATCACAGTGTCTGCAAAAAATCAACCTTCTTTAGGTGAACAAATGGAACGTGCCCCCCTGGGTTGTTCAGTTGTCCCATGAGATCATTCTAGAATCCCCCTAGAGTTTTGTTTACTTTGGGAAACACTAATCTGGACCTTTTATTTTATTTTTTAATTAATTAATTAATTTTTTTGTTGAATCATCCTAAGATACAGTTACAGACTTACAAACTTTTCATGATTACATTTCGGTCATACAGTGATTGAGCACCCATCCCTCCACCAGTGCCCATTCTTCACCACCAATGTTCCCAGTATCCCTCCTGCCATCCTCAACCCTTCCCATCCCTTGCCTCTGTGGCAGGAACATTCCCTCTTTTTCTCTCCTTTCGGGTGTTACGGTTTGCAATATAGGTACTAAGAGGCCATCATGTTTGGTCTATAGTCTGCTTCAGCACACATCTCCCATCCCAAATGATCCCTCCAACCATCATTTACTTTGTGATCCCTTCTCTATCCCAGCTGCCTTTTCCCCCAGCACGTGAGGCCAGTTTCCAGGCTGTGGTACAATCCCCTGGCCCTTATCTTTACTGTCTTTAGGTGTTAGTCTCTTATTATGTTACTTTATATTCCACAAATTAGTGTAGACATTCTGTCTGTCCCTTTCTTTCTGACTCATTTCACTTAGCATGATATTCTGCATGTCCATCCACTTATATGCTGATTTCATGATTTCTAATAGTTGCATAATATTCCATTGTGTAGATGTACCAAAGTTTCTTTAACCAGTTGTCTGTTCTTGGGCACTCGGGTTTTTCCAGATTCTGACTATTGTAAACAGTGCTGCAATAAACATAGAAGTGCAGATGTCATTTCTACTGTATTTTTTTTGTATCTCTGGAATATATTCCCAGAAGTGGTATTGCTGGGTCCTATGGGAGCTCAGTTTCTAAATTTTGGAGGAATGTCTATATTGTTTTCCAGAAAGGCTGGACCAGTCGGCATTCCCACCAACAATGAATGAGTGTCCCTTTCTCCCCACATCTGCGCCAGCACTGGTTGTTCTTTTCCTTTGTGCCAGTTTCTGTGTTGTAAAATGATATCTCATTGTTGTTTTGATTTGCATCTCCCTGGTGATTAGCGATGTAAAGCATTTTTTCACGTACCTTTTAGCCATTTGAATTTCTTTCTTCTTTTTTTTAAATGTAGGAGTACTGCTATTTATTCAGCCATTGATTAAGCTGCTTGAATTGGGCATGAACTCCACATTACTTCTTTTCTTTTTAAATTTTTTTAATTAGATATCTGTGAGATAGACTGTTCATAGTTGGGTTTCAATCATACAATGATCCAGCACCCATCCTTCCACCAGTGTACATTTCCCACCAACCAATGTCTCCCGTTTCCCCACCACCATCCCCTGACCCCCTACCCTCAGCCTTCCTCTATGGGAGGCACTTTCCTTCTTGCTCTGTCTCTCCTTTTCCTTTTTACGCATTATGGTTTGCAATAAAGGTGCTAAGAGATCATGGTGTTTGTTCGGGGCATTTGGTATTTTAATCGGGATGGTAAGGCTGGAGTAGCTTTTCAGTTGGGTGAAAGCTTTGGGGTGTTGATGTGACTGCCAATACTTCCGGAAGAACAAGGAGGTGGGGGGAGGTAGCCCATCCCAATCCTGAGAAAGCTTGGAGATTTCAGTCACAAAACCCGAATACCAGAATATTCAACAGATTATATCTTGGTGAGGTCGTCTGAGATGGTAGAGTCAGGCAGGGGTTATGTTGGCAGTTTTGGATTGTGGAAGCAGTAGCTGCTGGGGCCTCTGATTGGGTGGGCACAGGCCAAACATCCCCCTTCGATTTACCCTGGTCTATTCAGCCAAGCATGGGTCCGAGCTTAACTGTGGCCTTTGATCTCTTTCAAGATATATTAGTCTTTAAAGCAAGGCCAGTAGTAGAGCTTACAGGGTGGCGCTGGAGTTGGTTCGTGGGGTGACTGCCAGTGCTTCCATGAATATTGGGACGTGGGGGGAGGTACCCCATCCCAACTTCAAGAAAGTCTGGAGATTTCAGTTATAAAACCCCATACCCGAATTTTCAGCAGATTATATATATCTTGATGAGGTCTGCCCTGAGACGATGGAATCAGGCTGGGGGTATGGTGACAGTTTTGGATTGTAGAAGCAAGTGGCTGTCGGGGACTGTGCTTGGGCAGGCCACCAGGCCAGTGCACCGCCCTCTGATTTATCCCAGTCAGTTCAGCCATACACAGGTTCGAGATTAACTGTGGCTTTTGATTTCTTTCTAGATTTCTCTGTGTCTCTGAAATAAGGCCAATAAATGAGCTTGTATAGCTGAGCTGGGGGTGGTTTGTCGGCATGGCTCCCACATACCTAACTTTTGGCCATTTAATTTCTTGTAAACTTGGTCCCAAGTTAGAGGGGTCCAGCCAAAGGCATAGCAACAATTTGGGGGTATCAGTAAGCCTGAAGGCATCATCAGGCTGCTGATGCATTTGCCCCGCAGGTACAGGTTGGTGGCATCATACCCCCATTGAGTTTCTTTTTTGAGGAAATTTCTGTTCATTTCTTTTTCCCATCTTTTGATTGGGTTGGAGGGTTGTTTCTTTGTAAAGTTCTACCAGTGTCTTGTATAACCTGGATATTAAGTCCCTGTCTGATGGATATTGAGTAAATAATTTTTCCCATTCCATGGGGTCTGTATTTTGGTCACTGTTTCTTTTGAGGTGCAGCAGCTACTTAGTGTAATGTAATCCCATCTGTTTACATTTGTTTCTACTTGCTTGGTCAGTGGTGTTTCATCCTTGAAGATGCCTTTAACTTCAGTGTCATGCAGGTTTCTGTCTACATTTTCCTCCATGTACCGTATGGATTCAGGTCTGATATTGAGGTCTTTAATCTTTTTGGATCTGACTTTTGTATGTGGCATTAGACAGAGGTCTGAGGTAATTTTTTTGCATATAGTTGTCCAGTTTTCCAAGCAGCATTTGTTGAAGAGGCTTTCCTTATTCCACTTCACATTTCTTACTCCTTTATTAAATATTAAGTGACTTTATACTGGAGAGGCTGTGTCAGAATGTTCAACTGTGTTCCATTGGTCTGCAGGTCTGTTTCTATTCCAATACCATGCTGCTTTAATTACTACTGCTTTATAGTACAGTTTGAAATTGGAAATGTTATGCCACCCATCTTCTTTTCCCCAAGGGTTGTGTTAGCTATTTGTGGAGTTTACTGCTCCATATGAATTTCAGGAGTGTTTTATGTATTTCTTTGAAAAAATGTCATGGGTATCCTTATAGGGACTGCACTGAATCTGTATAATGCTTTGGGGAGTATTGCCATTTTGACAATAAAGTAAAGTAAAAGTAAAGGCCCTCCCGTTGATCATCGATTTGCTCGAGCGGACCCAGTAACGTCTCCATTGGAGACTTTGTTGTTACTGTGTCTGGCATATCGAATACGTCACGGGGAGCTTGCCAGGCTCTGCCGTGCGGGCGAGATACTCTCAGTAGCTTGCCAGGCTCTCTGAGAGGGGCGGAGGAATCGAACTCGGGTCGGCCATGTTGGCTGCGTGCAAGGCAAACGCCCTACCGCTGTGCTATCGCTCCAGCCCTACCGATCCATGAGCAGGTGATGTGTCTCCATTCCTAGTGTAATCTGGACCTTTTATTTCTGTTAGTTCAATTTTATTTCTGTAGTCCAACTACTTTGCCTTTTGGGATACCTATTTACATGTTTGCAGTATCACTTTATTACACAGTACTGGGGGTGTTACACCTGTAGAATAAAATGATTGCAACATAAACAGTGCCTCTGGAGTTCTGTAAGGTAATGACACGAGCGCCTAAGATATTGAGAGTAATCTTTCCTTTAATTTCTATATTTTCATAATTTATAATTTGATTTGTTGATATGATTGTCTGCATTGGTTGATTTTCAAAATATTGTGTATACTTGTAGCCCTTGGATAAGCCATATTGGATTATGATATGTTAATCTTTCTGCATATTGTGAGATTCAGTGGGTTAATACTTTGTTTAGGGTTTAATTCCATGACGAATATTGATCTTTATTTTTCTTCAAGAACTTTTAATTATATTTTTGATAGCAAGGTTGCAATAGTGTTAAATTTTTTATTATACAGATACTGCATCTCACCTCTACTAAATTACTAATAACTGTCAACCAGTGTCCATAGAGATTTTTCTTTTTCTTTAAGAAAATTTATTAAAGTAACTCTTTCTGCATCCATCATCAGTAATTGGGTTACAGTATATATACACATACACATATATTTAAATTTTATTTTATTTTTATAAAGTTGTTCACAATAATTTATTGCATTTAATATTCAAGCACCAATCCCACCATCGTACACCTACCTAGCAGCATAAGAGCAAAGCGTATGAAGATGGTTGCGTTTCATCCTGGAGCCATTTAAACCCTTGTATAAGACATTACAAGCATGTATGTTAAACTCAAACATGTGCTACTTTTGGTACATCAGTGGGATAGAGTATGAAAGGTCACATGGCCGCAAATACGGCTACGCAGTACAGGAATTCTGAAGTTTAGAATATGATTATAGAGCAAATTTACTCATGGGTA